ACCACAAAAAAAAATTAAAAATTAAAAAATATCCCCCAAAAAATTATCTTTTTATGCCTTGTTGCTTTTACCTTTATTTACTCCTAATTTTCTTAGAGAGGACTCTCATTAGTTAGTAAGGATGTTAAAAGGCAAATTCATTCACTTAACTACACATGTAGTAACACATCAGGGCCCACCCATCCTCCTGTTATAGAGTGGAATTTCCCAACAAATTTTTTTTTCTGATAATTTTTTTGAATGACATGGGCTCATAAAAATTCATAAAAAAATTCATTATTTATTCTTTTTCTTTCAGATTTTCAGGAAATATTGCTGACATGTTAATAATCTTCTTTTATCAATTAAACTCAAGTAACCTTTACTTATGAGGAAAAGTGACTTTGACCACAAGTTTTACTGTCTTACTTATTTTCCTTTTTAAATTTTACTTATCAAGAAAGTCCTGGGTTTCAATGACGAAATTTACTTTTTTTACTCAGAGGTCCATGCTATAAACTTTAAAATAAGATATTGTAGGTGTTGTTGCTCTAAATATTTGTGGAGATATGAATTAAAAACAAAATGTGGACAATTTTTGAATTGTCAAGAAGTACAAGCAGTAGGTAGCTTACATGTTTTTCATTGACCTGTGCTCCCTCTAGTTCATTTCAATTACTTTATGAATAGCCAAGATAGGCCTTTTGCAGTTAGAGATCACCTGCTCAGATACCACAAAGCAATGCCATACTGGAGAGCAAGCACTCTAGTGATCTCAGACCTTATAGGGGTCACAGCAGTCTGCATTCAAACAAAGAATACAGATGATAACCAGCTTAAAGGTATCCCACTTGTTAACATCCAGTAAGTTTTAATCATCAGCTTCCCTGAAGTGTATCAGTAACAAAACCATATCAAAACTGGAGCAAATTTTGTTGCTTTTATTTCTCACCTTGGCAACACAACATAAACAACATGGTGTCTTACCAAGGAATGTGAGAAGAAAAAAGACTTGTAAAATGAACTGAGGCTTTTCATTTTCATAGAAAACAAGACATCAACTTATTATTGAATAAATTTTAGTTCTTGAGCGAAAAACGAATACATAACGCTGCTGTAATCTGACAGTTGTACTCAAACTTCAATGTCTTTCTGTGGTAGATGAATCCACGAATGATCAAGTTCAGGCTCCAGAACAAACACAGCTCTTATCCACATTGAAAAGAAAAAGGAAATCTAGCTACCATTGCTGTGTCCCCCAGTGCAATGGCGACTTGCAATATCATGAAGAACTTGTTTTTCATTGAAAAAAGAAAACGAAGAAATTCGTCAAAAATGGGTTATTAAAATTCACAGAGACGAAGGGCCTGATTTCAAGGTAAAGTAAAGTTATCAAAATAACTTTTTCTTTCTCTATACTTCACTGCTGTCTTGTATGATCGCGTAATGTCTTAAATTTCATGTTTTCAATCAATAGATTACAAGTAGCACAAGGGTGTGTTCAAGACATTTTCTTGAGGAAGACTATCTACCCCCTGACAATGCAGGATGACGTCTACTTAAAAGAGGATCTGTTTCCTCTCACTTTGACTGGTCCTCAAAAGTCTTATGGAGAAGAAAGGTCATTCACCATTTTAGGAGGTAAAAACAACTTTTATTGATGATTTAACTCATTTCCTTGACTATGGTTTTAAAAGACAGAATGCATTATTTTTTCAGAGAAACATAGACTAATGAGAATGACATGGTGGGAGATACCAAAGCCAGTGAATCTTTGGAACCACCGATCCAGGATCAATTAGAATCCCTTAAAGTGGAGCTTTTGCAAAGGATGCAAGAGCTGGAAAACAGCAAAAGAGAAACAACTGCTGCATTAGAAGAAGCTAGAGCAGTCAAGATGCAGGCTGAAAAAGATCTTGATGAAGCTAGGAAAGCTGCAGCTCACAACCTTGCTGTATACAAGTTTAGATGGGAAAGGTTTTCCACAGATAATGACTCCATTAAACTTTAAACAGACTTCACATCCTATGAACACATAAAGTTTTTTGTAATGAATTGGTTCTGCCAACTGCAGAAACAATGACTTCTTGTTATGCTACAGGAGAGAGGCAAAGCCCCTCAGGAGCACAAAATATGCAAGTCATAGATGAATTGTTTATGTTTTTGGTAGGACTTAAATTAGGATTATTTGGGCAAGACCTTGCTCACAGATTGCAAATCCATATATCCCCTGTAAGTAGAAAGATAACAACTTGGTGCAATTATCTTTAGTTTATGTTGGGAAGTCAACCAATATGGCCTTCAAAGGAGGATGTCAATTGTTATATGCCTGAATAATTCCATACCCTTTATCCAACCACTAGGGTGATCATAGACTGCACAGAAATTCATGTGCAAACCCCTTGCTCACTCTTACTTAAGTCTCAATTATACTCATCTTGCAAAAGCAATCCTACCCTTAAAGGTTTTTTAGGATAACTCCTTATGGAGCAGTTTCCTTTTTTCTAGTTTGTATACTAGTGCTATATCTAACAAAGAAATCACTGGGTTTAGTGGTATTTTGGATTTGCTTGAGGATGGAGACTCAACAAGGCAGACAAAGGTTTGATGTTCAAGATTTGTTATTAGAAAAAGAAGTACAGCGCAATATCCCTCCTGTGACAAGTTGCGTGACTTGCTATGTGATATCTAACCACACGAGTTTCGGTTATATTGTTGATTCAGCCAATGAAATGCATTTACGCGTGATTGCACAACCGTGTGCTGGAGTTCCTAAAACGTTGTAGAACGTCACTTGACTGCATATAGTTGTTTACAATAAATCTCCGTTTAATACCCAAGTGCTGTTTCTTACACCTCCTTTCCTATGGATTCAAGCTCAGTTTTCATCAGAGAATGTACAGCAAACTGAAACAATTGCAAGTCTTCGTATTCATGTGGAAAGAGCAATTAGGAGATTCTGATATTCTGATGTGCCAATGAATGCATTAGATTCAATCAATCAGATATACACAGGGGCATGTCTTCTCACAAATTTTCAAGAGGCTCTTTGATTCCTAACTCAAATGGGAGTCAGTGTTAACTGAATCATCCTTGTCATCATTACTGTTATCACCACTGTTATCACCTTCTATGAGAGATGTGCATGTGACAAAGATTTGATTTTTAGAATCACCCCATACATTGCTATGTCCAGAAGGAAGCTTACTATAATTGTGTACAGCATTCATTTCATGTTATTAGCCTTTCTGAAACAAAGATAAAAAGTAACTGTGATCTAACTAGCAATATTGCTATTGAAGGATATGATTTTGTCTCCAAGTCAACTCTAACTAATGCTGTTGGTGTGTGGTTCTTCATCAAAGAGGGGATTCAATTTCATATTTGAGATGATCTTTGTTCAACGACAAGAGTTTGAATCTCTATGGATTGAGATTAATCATGATCCATATAAAAATATTTTGTGCACTGTCATATATAGACACCCAAGCGGTAAAACTGAGGACCTTAACAAATATCTTTACTCAACTCTAGAGAAACTTTCAAAAACTAGGAAGTTGTGTTTATTCAAGGGTGACTTTAATATCATAAATCTTCTGAACTTTGAAGACTCAGATAACAGGAATTCATTAATAATGTGATTTCTTATGGCTTCTTACCAAACATTCCGCAGCCTACAAGAATCACTGATCACATATTTTCTTTAACTCTAATAAATTTGTTGCTACAAGTGGAAATTTGGTTTGTCACCTTACAGATTATTTAACAAATTTCTCAATTATCAACAAATCTTGGAAAGCAAGTGATATGAACTTTTTAGCAGATGTTGAGTCAATTCATTGGGATAATGTTTTTAGGGAAAGTGACATCAATCAGATGTTTAATTCCTTTTATTCTGTAGTCAATACTACAATAGACAAACATGCTCCTTTAAAAAAGTTCAGTAAACGAGGAACAAAATTTTAGTCCAAACCTTGAAATTACTCAGGGTATTAATATATCTATTAAAACATAAAATAAGCTAAGAAAACATTACATAAAAAGTAAGTCTCAAAGTAATCACTCTCGCTATAAAATTTTCAAGAAGAAACTAGTATATTTTAATTGGTAGTAAAAAACTCTATTATAGAGAATACTTTACTTACCATGTTAATAATGCAAAAGCCACATGGAAGGGTACTAAGCAGCTTATTAGCTTTAAGCATAGTAAACTGTCCTTCTGAGATAAATAAAAAGTTGATGGTAACACCTTAACTGATGCCAAAGATACAGTTAATGCATTCAACAAATATTTTGCCTTAGTCTAGCCAATGGCATTCAACTTGGCAATAGAATCTTTGTGGAATATTTAACAAATTCACCATGCGGCAGTTTTAATTAATCACCAGTATCACTAACAGAAGTTGAGAATATTATTTCTAGCCTAAATGCAAATAAAACACTGGGGTCACATTACATCTAACTGAAAATTCTTAAATTAATGAAGAGCATCTTGTGTTACCATGGGAGAGTAATACCTCTGTACAAAAGTGGTAACCAGGCTTTAGTATTCAATTAAAGACCAATTACTCTGTTATCTGTTTTCCATAAAAAATGGAGAAGCTAATGTCTAATAGATTAGTTAATTTTCTTAATAAACATAATATACTGGATGATAATCAATTTGGTTTTCGTAGTAGACACTCCACTACTCAGGCTTCTATGCTTATCACTGATAAAATCCAAAGAACCATTGAAAGTAAATTATATTTTTGCGGGATATTTTTTGGACTTAAGTAAAGCCCTTGATACAGTAGACCACAACATTCCCCTAGCTACACTGGAACATAATGGAATTTGAGGTTTACTGTTAAGGATATCGAAAAGAACAGTTTTTTGATTAGATCAATTATCAATTACTTTGTGTGCCTAGTTA